TACCCCTTGGTGAAGTTTCCCTACTTCTCACGCTCCTCTTGTTAACTCCTTGAAAAGGACCTTGTCCACCATCTTCAAGGCAGAGATACGTTTACGTTTATTAATGACTACCAAATCCCACTTGGAAGCAAGAACCAGAACTTATTTTAAAATCAAAGTTTGAGCTCAGCCTGAGTTAAGTGAGGACCAGAGTCCTCACTTATTCTTAAATTCGCAGAAACACAGGGAAGCATCTAACCCAGGCTTGTAGATGTCTCATCTAGTTGAGCTTTTCAGAAACTGTTGTTTGGGAACCACGTTCTGCACACACTTTGTCCACTCTCTAAAATGGCAAACATTTCATGCAAGATTACTTCCCCCGGGGTCTTAAAATATGCATAGACATTACCGTCATCTTGGTTCTCTATAGTTAAGTTGACCTGCTCAGTTAGTTGACAGACTTGGAAAGTGACAGAAAAGTTAAGTCAGAACTTAGGAGTGGTGCTTTCCTGATGCTAGGCGTCTAAATGAATAAAATGGAGAAATTAAATATAACCAAATGAGGTCATTTGATCTAAGTAAAATTTTAGTAATGTGATTGAAGGAGGCAAGGACTGGCATGGTGCCCTGCCATAAACTATGCTACCTTAGGAACTGGCAAATAGGAGGGAGTATTAAAAATGAATGGTCACATGTATGGTGAAAATGTCACAATGGATAAAGTATTACAGATTCTCTGTAAGTAAAAATGTCATACTATATGTAAAAAAAAATTCTTTTGGATAAAATTAAGCCACTTAGTATTAGATGGGGTTTTCAAATATTGATTGATTGATGGACTATCTCTTTCAGATAATATATGGGAAAATTAGTTTTAGAATATAGTTTTGTTCCTTAAGAAAACTATTATCTAGAACAGGGATTAGCAACCTTTTTCCGTAAAAGGCCAATAGTAAATATTTTAGACTTTGTGGGCCAAGAGACAAAATTGAGGATATTATGTATGCACGTATAATAAGACAGAAAACAAATTTCCACATTTTTATTAATGAAATATAATTATCTTATTCAAACTATAATAATTGAGTACAATTTTTCATAATACAGGTCTTCTGATGGGAAGAATGAAAAAAATTTTTTGAGAAAATAACATTTTGCTTAATTGGGGTGCTGCCATTGTAGAGCAAAAGCAGCGCCATAGACAATATGATCACATTTATAAACTAACTCCAGAGTGAATTTTTCTAATGATGACAGAGGCCCAAACATGGAGAGAGAGCTTTTCTCTACATTTCATTTTAAGGGACTTTTTTCCCATTAAGAAGGAATGTTACCTTTTAAGGAGTAACTTGTTGGTGCTAGAATGTTGCTCTTTATGGTTGAACAGGTATTTCTGCTGATGGGGAGGTTTCGCTGATGCAAATGCAGATACACAATGCACAGTAGAGGAAAGAGAGGAGGCCAAAGGGCAGAGAAAAAATATTTTTTTTCTTTTGGCCACACCACGTGGCATGCGGGATCTTAGTTCCCCGACCAGGGATCGAACCCAGGTCCCCTGCAGTGGAAATGCAGAGTCTTAACCACTGGACCGCCAGGGAAGTCCCCAGAGAAAATTTTTTATGTTTAAATTTTCCTTGTCTTGCCATAAAATATGAATTTTATTTCACAAATAATACAAAAGAACAAGCTGGATCAATTTCCAGATTCACTCATTTAATAGGAACTCTGCTAGGGGCTAAGGATGCTCTGGTAAGCCTGTCATTTATCTCACACATATGTCTCAGCTCTTCTATACCCCCTGCTGTAGCAGGTCTGAAAGGCTACAAACTTCATTTCCGAGGATCCCAATGCTGATGGGCAGAATTGGTGAGGAACAGAGGGAAGAAAACGGTTAAAAGTTTTAACACTTGAGTTAATACCTGAAACTATAGTTATTTTCTGATAGCTTGGAAATTATGCAATATGTTAGCTATTTAAGAATTCACTCAGATGAAAGGAATAATCACATGGTTTATTACTATTATACAAATAAGTTACATTAGGGTTGTTCAGATTTTTTTTTTCCTAGACTCTTAAAAATCTTGAAGTAGCTTAGAAATTTGAATAAAAACGGGAATTTGGAAAGTTGTGCAGAGGATTTTGGATGACAACCCAATTCCTAATAAACAAAATACATGGAACAGGCAGGAATATATCACAGTATTCAGCCATTAATTGGGAAAGGAGACCAGGAGCACTTGCTATGTTCAAATTCCAAGGTCTTAGATTGATATGGTGAATAGAAAGGACTTGCTAATGCTACAGACAAGGTGAGAAATGTGGGTAGATGCAGAAATAAAGGGATATTTCTACAATAAAATGTTATGTTAACAAAAAACGTCCACAGGAAAGTAGTCATCCCCAGATATTCCTGTAGCAGCAACTCCATTTGAAACGTACAAAACAGGTACCACATCTACAGAGCTGACTGAAAAAAAGTTCCCACATTTGAATTCGTCAGACCCAATTTTAGCTATCACAAGGAGTAACAAAAAATAGACTAAAAAGTGTGTTTAGGGAAAAGTAGATAAGTTTATTGAGTAAAGTTCTCATTATGAATAATTGAGATGGAACCACACAGATGATTTAAGACATCACTACAAGATAAGATCAACACTGTCACACACTTGTGTCAGGACAGTTTTTTTAGAGGACCTTTACTATTAAACAATTGTCATTCCAATATATAGAGGTTTTGGTTAACAAAGTGTTTGACCTCCATTTCTCTATCAATATTAACGTTTTCAGATTATTTACCCAGCACTTCTTATTTGTATGAGCAGATCCTCACAAGCCTGTGAGGTAAGTTGGCACTCCTACTATTTTTTTTCCCACTAAAGGAGGAGGAAGAGGGACTTCCCTGGTGGCGCAGTGGTTAAGAATCCGCCTGCCAATGAAGGGGGCATGGGAAGATCCCACGGGCCCCGGAGCAACTAAGCCCGTGTGCTACAACTACTGAGCCTGCGCTCTAGAGCCCGTGAGCCACTACTACTGAGCCCCTGCACCATAACTGAAGCCCGGGCGCCTAGAGCCCATGCTCTGCAACAAGAGAAGCCACCACGATGAGAAGCCCATGCACCGCAACAAAGAGTAGCCCCCGCTCACCTGCAAGTAGAGTAAGCCCGTGCGCAGCTTTGCGGAGGTAACAAAAATACGGTTAATTTAAAAGGAAATTTTAAGGGGCTTCCCTGGTGGCGCAGTGGTTGAGAGTCCGCCTGCCGATGCAGGGGACACGGGTTCGTGCCCCGGTCTGGGAAGATCCCACATGCTGCGGAGCGGCTGGGCCCGTGAGCCATGGCCGCTGGGCCTGCGCGTCCGGAGCCCGTGCTCCGCAACGGGAGAGGCCACAGCAGTGAGAGGCCCGCGTATCGCAAAAAAAAATAAAAATAAAAGGAAATTTTAAAAGGCTAGAAAAGATTAACTGAAGGACGTCTACAGGATTTTAGAACACTAAAGTTTTAAATTATACTGTAACAAGGGGATAATGAAGGCAATGAAAGATTGTAGGGAAGTGATAAAGGAAGAGCTCCACAGTTTGCAAAGTCCCTAGTCAGCCAGGGGTACTTCAGAGCAGAAATCCAGCAAGGGTACTTGAGAACAGAAGAAAACGCTATGCTGGGGACTGAACAAAACGTGGTCTTGGATTTCCTCAGAGGCAGAACCCATTCTTGTTAAAGCTGGAAGCTGGGGACGGGCACTCAGGCACCTACGAAGAAGGTAGCAGTCTCTGAAGAACTTAGCAGAAGGTGATCTGGGTGAAAACAGGAGATATCATGAAATTCTCATTGAGAGTCTTGACTTCATAGGTTGATACTTTGAATGTTGTGGAATTGTTTTGGTCAGATACCCAGGACGCCCAATGTGTTTCTGAAAAGATACATTTTCTCCTACTGCCCATACTCAGGTCTCTATCAACATTGACTGCCTCTGACCCAATCTCCCTCTCCCCAACCACAGGGCAGTTTTGAAAACATGAACAATACTTGTTATAAACGTTTGGTGTGAATCCTCTGACCTGGAGGGAGTTTAAGCTTAGCTGGCATGGGCTTTCATGCACACTTGGCTTTAAGTTGGGAGAGAGGGATATGGATGGTGTCTTGGCACTTGGTTAGGCCCAAGATAACCGAAAGGTGAGAAACGAGCTGTTGAGGATCATAGGATTTTTTTTTCTTAATTTTTAAATTTTTTTGGCTGTGCAGCATGTGGGATTTTAGTTCCCCAACTAAGAATTGAACCTGGGCCCTCAGCAGTGGCAGTGTGAAGTCCTAACCACTGGACAGCCAGGGAATTCTCGCATCATAAGATTTTCGTCAAGATTCATAATAGTTTTGATCTGACTTGACAAATTGATTTTTATTTACCTGAATGTGAAAGGTTTCCCCCTAAAGAGTAGCAAAATTAATATGAACTAATGTAGTTAACATTGACTATAGACTGGAATTGTACAGATGGAGCAGTCTCACAATGTCTTAATGATAAAGAAGCTGTTTAAGGCATTCTTACTATAACTACTATGCTGGTGAAGAAATATGGATTCCTCCACCCCAACTCTGACAATCTTACATATTTGACAATAAATATACTAGAATCCGAATCTAGATAAATATTCTAGACCCAGAATCTAGAACCTCAGAGAATTAGACGAACACAAATGGCCTTAGATAATCCTCAGAAATCTAGATAACATTAGATTTTCAGAGCTATGAAGGTCATTTCACTGGTATATTTAATAAATGTTTATAGAACCTGTATGCAAGGCACAATGGGGGTATAAGACATCATTGATCCAACCAACTGGTGAGGAATTCATTATAGGCAAAATGAACAGTCAGAGCAGCAGCCCCCCAAATCAGAGCCATCCACCCAGGAGACATCATAAAGTGCTGGCTGAGGGTGATTAATTAGCCAGTCTAGAAGCCCATTTAGGTCTAAAAGGTGAGAACCATTTCAGGTCTGACCTCTTCCAGGCAACTCTCCCATAGCCTCTTATCAAACAAGTTTTTTTTTTTCAATCACCTTCTAAGATGTAGAAGATAATTCACCTCAGCCAGTCTCTATTTTCTAACAAACACCTGATGATGTGTGGGAGTAAATAAAGCCCAGCTCACAATTTTCTAGTCAGCAAGGGCTCCAGGGTGGCTTCAGTTCAACGAGGAGTGAGCACCAACTCTGGCATGTAAGACATGGGTCATGGAGACAGAATTTTTTTCCCAACATGGCTTCTCTGATGTTGAATAAGGTATGAAGTTCGGGTGAAGCCTTTTCCACATGTATCACACTGATAGGGTTTCTCACCAGTGTGGATTTTTTGGTGCTCAATAAGGCTTCTATTCCTAGTGAAACTTCTCTCACACTCATTACATTTATAAGACACGGGAGCCTCAACATTTTCCCACTGGCTTTCCATCCTCCCCTGACTCTCCCAGGTCTCTCCACGGTCAGGATTCTGAACGTTTTTATCGCCGTGGACCCTCTGATGTCTCAGGAGATGTGAATTGCGCCTAAAGGCTTTGCCGCACACATTGCACTGGTATGGCTTCTCCCCAGTGTGGATCTTGCGATGTTCAAGGAGGCTGCAGCTCTGGCTAAAGGTTTTCCCACAGTCATCACACTCGTAGGGCTTCTCCCCGGTGTGAGTTCTCTGGTGTTTGATAAGGTTTGAACTGTGACTGAAGACCTTGCCACATTCCTCACACTCATATGGTTTCTCCCCAGTGTGGACTCTCTGATGAATGACGAGGGCAGAGCTCCCGATGAAGGTCTTGCCACACTCCTCACATTCATAGGGTTTCTCCCCAGTGTGGATTCTCCTGTGCTTTGTCAGGCCTGAACTCTGAGCAAAAGTCTTTCCACATTCATGACAATAATGCCGCCTATTCCCTGCAGCACTTTTCTGCTTTCTTTGTAACATGCCCTCCTGATCACCAGCTTCTGCACATGCAGGAATCTGGCCAATGGCTTCACCCAAGTGGCATGGTATCTGACCAGACTCTTGTCCTGGATGGTCCTCGTCTGAAGGCAGGTCCCTGATCTTCGTCTGCACTGCACCACCTGAACAACAAATGGCCAGCAATTGTCAATTATGCCCTGCCACAGAGGAAAGCTTTGTGATGAGTCCCAGGGAGGAAAGAATTATAGAGGTGTATATATGCCATGGATGAAGATTTAAGTATTAGAATAAAGATGGGAATAAAGGGGGAGAACAGGCGTGCTGGGGAGGGAGACCTGAGAATGAGAATGGGGCCATTGGAAGAAGGGTACAATCTGGGAATGGAGAGATTGGAGGGAAGACCTCACACTCATGGTTTCTCCCCAGTGTGGACTCTCTGATGAATGACGAGGGCAGAGCTCCCGATGAAGGTCTTGCCACACTCCTCACATTCATAGGGTTTCTCCCCAGTGTGGATTCTCCTGTGCTTTGTCAGGCCTGAACTCTGAGCAAAAGTCTTTCCACATTCATGACAATAATGCCGCCTATTCCCTGCAGCACTTTTCTGCTTTCTTTGTAACATGCCCTCCTGATCACCAGCTTCTGCACATGCAGGAATCTGGCCAATGGCTTCACCCAAGTGGCATGGTATCTGACCAGACTCTTGTCCTGGATGGTCCTCGTCTGAAGGCAGGTCCCTGATCTTCGTCTGCACTGCACCACCTGAACAACAAATGGCCAGCAATTGTCAATTATGCCCTGCCACAGAGGAAAGCTTTGTGATGAGTCCCAGGGAGGAAAGAATTATAGAGGTGTATATATGCCATGGATGAAGATTTAAGTATTAGAATAAAGATGGGAATAAAGGGGGAGAACAGGCGTGCTGGGGAGGGAGACCTGAGAATGAGAATGGGGCCATTGGAAGAAGGGTACAATCTGGGAATGGAGAGATTGGAGGGAAGATGGTGAAGCCTGAAGACTGTGCTGGGGATAAATGCAGATGTTCTAAGTCCTAAGAAAGTAAGGCAGGGCCATGTGCTTAGGATTAGATACTAAAAGGGCTGAGCAGAAGGTGACAGTAAACAAGGCAAGTGAAAGGATTTCTGAAATGTTCTATGAGAAACAGGGAAAGTAGGAACTCAGAACTCACTGACCACTGGAAGGTGCAGTCATCTCTGGCTGCACCCCAGGCAGAGGCAGGGTCTGCCAAATAAAACTGGCATCAGTGCTGGGAGATCTGAGCTGGAGCCCCCACTGTGCTGCCAGTGAGCTACGTGAACTCAGACAAGCCAGGCAATCTTGTGCGCCTCTGCACTGCACACTCATCTCTAAGGCCAGGCTCTGCAGTCAATCTCTGGCTCACTTCTAGCTCTCACTCTATGGTCCCATGGCCCACCTCCTGAAGAGATCCCTCAGCTCTCCTGCACTATCAGGACTAGCAACAGGAAGGGAAGGGGAAGAAATCAGCATTTACTGAGCATCTACTATGAGCTGGACCTGTACTAAGGGCCGTACCTCCTCCATCCCACTTAAACTGAACTGACCAGGACAGTGGCAGGACAGATAAAAAAGCAAGGCTCAGAAGAGTTAATAAACTAGTCACACAGCTGGTTAGTAGTTGGGATTCAGAAATGGTGGTTCTAATTCCAAACATAATTCAAACAGTTTCTAACAGCCCAGTAGATTCTAATACACAAAGGAAGCCAGGAAACCTTATAAGAAATCAGTGCCCATTAGTCTTACCCAAGGAGATCAGGCTGCCACAGTTCTCCTGCCTTTCATCTCTGTAGAAGTTCACCTGAGATGAATCCAGCTGTGTCCATCCAGGAGTGAGGGTCAGGGCCACATCTTCCATTTTCAGCAGCCCCTGAAACAGTGAGTAATTCCATGTAATTCCTCTTGCCCAAAATCACTCCCAAAGCTGGGTACATGCAATGAAGGAGCATCCCCTTTACAGGAGCTCTTTACAAAAAAGCAAGTATGGCATACTTATGCCTACTTAACCCTATCTCTAATAACATCTCTGTCAAAAAAATAACCATTAAAGGAAAGAAATATACACATTATCAGTACTTTCATATAAACATCTAAACAGTCCAGAAGGTGAAAGGTTTGGAAAAACAAGGGCCATTGCAGTGAAAGGAGTGGAACCACATCCAAACTTTTCAAAATATTTGTGGTGTGCTTTGGCAAAGTGGGGATGGGGGCTTATTTGTATTAATGATTTTAAAATACAATGAAATCTAGGTCTGAGGTGAGGAAAAACCAGGGAAAATAGGTTCTACGGAGCCTCGACAAGCAGGACATGGAAGACTGGGTAAGAAATTAAACTCCAGGTTAAGTAAAGACTATTCAAATTGTAATATTAAATCTTAGACTAAAAGCACATGCCTTATCTGTTCCTTCAAGTTTAAGTTCCTAGAGGGCAGCGGGCATGACTCTATATCCCTCACTAGCAGCACAGTTTATGATACTTCAAAAAACAAAACCACATCCACCATCACAACAAAACCTTCAGTTTGTATTTGCTAAATTTCCCTTGCTGAAGAAGAAAGTCTCCTTGGTGAAGGAGCTGACCAAACAGATGGCTAGGAAGAGCAGGGAAGCACAGTCTCCAAGCTAGGAGTGAAACAGGAAAATCTTCTTAAGTGAATACCAAAATAATGACAGATGATGATTAGCAACCTTGGGATAAATGAGAATACTCAAACTCCATGTAGATCCAGGATGAGGGTGGAGGAGGCATGGAGAGAAAGGGATCTGATGGGAAGCCCATCAGCAGTGAAGGGTGCTGGGTGAGGGACAGGGGTTCCACCTCACCTGGGACTCTGGGGCAAGCCTGGTGGCTACCACTTCATCTTCTCTGCAGCGCCCTCCAGAGGCAAGCCTAGGAACCTGGAGAACTAAGAAGGAAAGAAGCTCTGGATGAGATTGACCCTGACATTCAACCTCCCTGGCATTCAGCCTCCGTGAGCCATGAAGTCCAAGTTCAAAAACTGCATAAATTCCCATAGAGAAGTTTATACAGTGTGTCTTTCCAAAATTCCTGATCCCTGCCAGCTCAAATCCTACGGCCTGAAGAGATGCGAGTACTCCACAGATGCACAAAACGATGGGCTGGATCCTTGGTAAGAAGTGGTAGCAACATAAAAACAAAACAAAACATTCCATCTGAAGAGTCTTTAATCTTGAATTTTGCTGAGAGAGGGAATAAGAGGATTTCTGCGGTTTCTTTTTTTGGCTGCACCACGTGGCATGAGGAACTTCCCTGACCAGGGATTGAACCCGCGCAACCTGCAGTGGAAGCACGGAGTCTTAAGCACTGGACCACCAGAGAAGTCCCAAGGGTTTTCGTTGTTCTTAAAATTTCTTTAGTAGCTCTTTGGGTGCTTTATTCTTTTTTTTTTTTGGCTGCATTGGGTCTTTGTTGCTGTGAGCAGGCTTTCTCTAGTTGTGGCGAACGGGGGCTACTCTTCGTTGCAGTACACAGGCTTCTCATTGCGGTGGCTTCTCTTGTTGCAGAGCACGGGCTCTAGGCACATGGGCTTCAGTAGTTGTGGCACGCAGGCTCAGTAGTTGTGGCTTGTGGGCTCTAGAGCGCAGGCTCAGTAGTTGTGGCGCATGGGCTTAGTTGCTCCGCGGCATGTGGGATCTTCCCGGAGCAGGACTGGAACCCGTGTCCCCTGCATCAGCAGGTAGATTCTTAACCACTGCACCACCAGGGAAGCCCTGGGTGCTTTATTCTTTAGTTCTGAAAGACTAAGAGGAGTCAGATAAGGCTGGGCCCAGAAAGGAAGAAATGGAAGTCTGCCTATATAGAACTTGCTCAGATTTGAGAGAAGTAAAGGGGAACTTTAGGTTTTCCTATGAAAGGTGAACTTTGCTGGAAGCAGGAAACAAGTTAGGTTAGGCTAGGACCTCTGTTCAGAAATAAAGATTTCCTGTTGGCTGGTGTATCCCAGTGTTGTTTGTCTTGGAAATCTGCCCAGATGTTCACAGTACGTGGGGAACACTCGGGAACATATAACAGTTTCCTACTGAGTGATTTTCACCCTGTTCTAAGTGACAGGTTTAGAAGATTAATACTCTTTGGTTTGTAGAAATCCTACAATTCTGGAATATTCTGACTGGCTTTACATATTCTGCCTTATATTCCTCATAGCACTCACCAATATTTGAAATCATATTAATTTATTTGCTATTCTCCTTATTAGAACGTAAGTTCCATTGGAGAAAGAAATCTGTCCTACTGACAATGCTATCCCTGGTACCTACAACACTGGCTACCACGTAGGGAGCCTCCAGAAATATATGTTGAATGAATGGAGATCACTGTGTTGCTACAAAAATCAACTCTTTCCAAACACCAATTTTAATAAAGTCTTATTTACCGTGTCCAGGTTTGGTTAGGAAAGCTTTCCACTATTGTTTGAAATTTCCCTATTAGTCTCAGTCTCAAAGTAAAGTAGATCTGCAAGGGGCGTATAAGACACCTATCAATAGATCTTGTAGGTGATCCTTAAATAAAATTGGTTGAAGTCTGCAGAATTCATACTGCCCAGAAGATAATACTCACCTCTGTCTGGTAGGGAGTGGGATCCCAGAGATTCATGCTTGAGTGGAGGCTTTCTTGGCTGGAATTGGGTATTTCGTGACCTCTGAGCTGGTGTCAACACTGCCATCTTGAAACAGAACAGTTCTTGCCCCTGTTCACCACCTGGGACCTAGAAATCATTCATTTATTTATTCATCAGACACTTCTATCACACTCTCTATGTGCTAGTACTTTCTATTTCCCAGGCACTATTTCTAAGAGCTTTATGAATATTAACTCACTTGATGCAGAGCGCAACAACCTTATGAGCTAGGTACTTTTATTATCTGTATTTTTGTAATGGGGAAACTGAGGCACAATGTTTAAGCAACTTGCCCAAGGTCACCCAGGTAAAAGCAGAAATGTTAGGATGGGAGCTCAGGCAGAATGAATCCAGCGCCCATGCTCTTAAGCATTACTCTGTACTCCCTCATTATATATACTTGTGCTTTTATGAAAACTCTTTGGGAATTGGGGCTAAGTTCTCAGAGAATACTAATATGTTTTCTTATCTAAAAAATGAAAATAATAATTTCTAGCTTACAGGGTTTTGGAGACCAGCAAATAAGATTGCAGTGTGTGAAATCACCTAACATAGGGCCTGGTACATGGTATGTCCTAATTAAATAAAAGTTTCCTTCCAGACATTTGTCATTAATTAATTTTCAAGTCACTTTCATAATAATTAGCTCATATGCAGTTTAGAATTTCCCATATCTAAAGAATGAAGAGCCTGAAGCTGAGACTTGAAATGATTCTTCTCTGTTCTCTGTTACAGGGCTAAGGGGCACTAATGCCAACTCAAGAACTTTGGTCTCTGGGTCACAGGTTAGAAGTCTTTGGTCTGGTTACGTACACGCTGAAAGGAACACACAAGGACACAGAATACTGCAAAGGGAAAACAGACTCATACAACATTCAGGAAGATGCAAGTAAAAATGAACCCTAGGGTTTCTAACTTGTGGTCCACCGACTCCCTCCTATGTATTCCATGAATGTGAATAGGAAAAATAACTTTATTTTTACTAGCTTTTAAGCAAAATTTAGCATTTCTTTCAATTATGAATGGAAGCAACAAACCAAGGTGTTATAAGCAGTACACAGGAATCTGTCACCAACTGAAACTGCAGATGTTCTCATACCACATTACAACCAGGTAAATGTCAAAGTCATTCATTGCCACTTTGAAATTATACTAGTTATTAGGCTGTCTCTAGATGTTAATATTTAGTGCATTAATTTTAAAAAGCACATATATAACTTTATCATAATTTAATGCTTTGCTAACTGTATTTCAATATATTTGAGTTCTTTTTAATCCTTTATATTTTCCCTTATGTATTTAAAAAATACTATTATGTGAAGGAGTCCAGGGACTTCACCTTACTGGCAAAGAGGTTCAGGTACAAAAAGAGACGGAGAACTTCTGGATCTTAAAGAAAAGCCCCTCACTCTGATCTGGAGATTTCAGGAAGAAACAGACCACAGCTTTCAGAGGCTAAATCTGTTCTCTCTACCTGCAGCATCGGCTCATCCAACTGCTTCTCCAAATACTCCAAGAGCACCACCACTTCCTCCCCGCTCTCCGGATGCTGCTTCCGCACCCAGCTCTGCAGGTCCCCCGGTAGGATGGTCAGGAACTGCTCCAGCACCAGCAGCTCCAGGATCTGCTCCTTAGTGTGCACCTCTGGCCGCAGCCACAGTCGGCAGAACTCCCGGAGCCGGCTCAGAGCCTCGCGGGGACCCTCAGCCTCCGGGTAGCGGAAGCCTCGGAAGCGCTGGCGGGAGTGCTCGGAGCCCGGAGCTGGGCTGCCTGGGGCGCCCGCCTCAGCAGCCAAGGCGGAGGCTTCCTCCTTCTCCACCTTCACGGTCAGGATCCCGGTCCGGTCCTCTGCAGACCGGGCGTCCAAGGCTGCGCTTTCCTTCGATTCTCTAGCCATCCTGGACCAAGGCAGTACTTGGGCCTCAGTCTAGCTGGGAGCTGTATTTCTTCGGAAAATTCTTGAAAGGTGGGAAATCACAATTATACTGTAAAACTGCAGTGGTCCCCTTTCGCGTGTCCAGGGGCACAGGACACCCCTGGGGCGCAACTTCACAGATTGCCCCCTGTAGTCCGTGCCTTTGCAGCGTCCTCCTCTGCACCCCACCCCGAATCCCACAATAAGTAACCCCAAAGGATGTCTTGGTGGAATGAACAGATTCCAGATGCTGGAGAAAAACTGAGGATGGGGCACAGGAAGCCTCGGTGGGAATCATTGCCACTTCCCGGGCTCTCTAGGAAGCACCTCTCTATGGTTGTCCCCAAGTTAACCCGTTAGCAACCATGCCCTTACCTCCACTCAAGGGAAGCAGTTAGGGGAAGGAGAAAAAAAGGATGACAGGCTCTGTATCATAAGAAATAAGACTAGATCTTTCAGTCCTGTAAGGATGCTGTTGTGCCCCCCCCCCACCCATGCTCTGATGTAAAGCTTGACTACAGAGCTGGCATAAAATTGACACTAAAATTCAGCAGAAAGCAGAGCTTCCTCAGAGCACCAGGCAGGAGGACATGCCCTTTCTCTCAGAAACATCGAAGACCACATCACCAGGCACTTGCTTGGAGAAGCAGTGGCTGCCCCTGGCTCTTGCTCCACTCCAGCTGCCATTCTTCCCTCCCTTTCAAGGCTAAACTACTTGAAGGAAAGCCCTCCAATCTCTGACTCTAGTCCTCACCTTAACACACTGTAGGTGGCAAACTGCCAACAAAGCCATTGAGATTGCTCCTGCAAAAGTAACTAGAGATTCTGTCCCTCTTCCCCTCCACACACAACAGCTACCACTTTCTATTTTCCATGGCTTCCTCTCAGGCAACCAGGATTTCCAGGCTTCCCACTACCAGAAACTCTCTAGTCCCCAGCATCAGGGACCATATTATCTTGGGCTTTCATTCTTCTTCTTTCCAGTCCTCATTTATGGTCTGGCATAGTGGTTAGATCCACCGACTCTCAAGCCAAGTTACCTGGGTATGTAATCCTGGCTGTACCATGTACTAGCCGGGTGACCTTGGTAAATTACTTATCCTCTCTGTGCCTGACTTTCCCAATCTATAAATGGGGATAGTAACAGTAGATAGTGATGGAGGAAAATTTCGCCTGTTGAGGTATGGGGAAGTCATTCTGACTTATATGATGTACATCTGTTCTAACCATTAAAAGAGAATGCATTTACCATATTGTTCACAATGTCCACTTTGAAGATAGAGATAAATGCCCCCCTACCCCGCCCATGCTATTACTCCTTCAAAGATGAGGGTCCCTTCCCAGACACCAAGGTCATGCTGACTCGCTGTGTATGTGCTAATCTGTCTCTTTTGAAACGTTGAAGGAATGCACCCTTGTCATGTTTGATATTTGTTCTTTGTTCTGACAAGATATGAAACTGTGGTTCGGGCATCCAAAATGGAACCGGGTAACCATTGTGCATGTGGTCTCAGAAATGTTCCTGCGTCACTGAGAACCTGAATTTTCTGAACTGTATCAAACTCAAGGACACTATCAGCTGTTCTCAAAACAATATCTGCTAGTAGCTGCCAGCTGCAACCTTAAGGTCTCAAGGTCTCCCCTTGTAACTATGTAACCCATTTTGGACCCCAACCAACCCTTGCTTAGCAAGTACCCTTACTTCTTGCCAGCTCCAATCCTAATTCTTTTATTTATTTATTTGGCTGTGTCAGGTCTTAGTTGTGGCATGTGGGATCTTTCATTGTGGCGCATGTGCAGGCTCAGTAGTTGCAGCATGCAGGCTCTCTAGCTGTGGCGCGTGGGCTCTAGAGCACGTGGGCTTAGATGCCCTGTGGCATGTGGGATCTTAGTTCCCCGACCAGGGATTGTACCCCTGTCCCCTGCATTGGAAGGCAGATTCTTAAACACTGGACCACCAGGGAAGTCCCCTCCAATCCTAATTCTTGACAATTTGTGTACAAATTGTTTTTTGCCTACCTAAGCCCCTGCCCCCCATTTTGTAGTCTGACAGAACACAATTCAAGTGCTTCTTGAATCCATGTCTCTTGGGTTACAGTCCTCAGTTTGGCTTGAAAGAAACTCTTTTCTATTATTATTATAGATTGTTTATTGATTATTGCATTGATGAAAGTGATGTTGTGAGCATTAAGGTGAGTTTTTGTGTAAAGTGCTTAGAACAATGCCTGGCCTATAATAAATTAGGCCTACCCTAAAATGGAAGCTCCGAGATTCCTTTGAACCAGGCAGGATTAGATTTTAAGCCAGAAATGACTGTGAAGTTATTTTGGTGGACCAAGATGTCAGTAAGTCCCCTTTCTACCCAATGGAATACAAGTTTGATAGAAGTTCACTAAATGGAAGAATACCATGCTGATACCTTCCTGAGTTTTTTTGTTTGTTTGTTTTTATAAATTTATTTATTTGTTTTTGGCTGTGTTGGGTCTTCATTTCTGTGCGAGGTCTTTCTCCAGTTGCAGCGAGCGGGGGCCACTCTTCATCGCGGCGCGTGGGCCTCTCACTGTCGCGGCCTCTTGATGAGGAGCACAGGCTCCAGACGCACAGGCTCAGTAGCTGTGGCTCACGGGCCCAGTTGCTCCGCGGCATGTGGGATCCTCCCAGACCAGGGCTCGAAACAGTGTCCCCTGCATCGGCAGGCAGACTCTCAACCACTGTGCCACCAGGGAAGCCCCCTTCCTGAGTTTTTATTCCTTAGTTTTTATTCCCTCTGCAGTTCAAGGGATAACAAAGAGATAAAACTTAAGAAAATGAGAGATGTCAAGGCTGTTACAAAGGAAAACTACTAGAAAATATTCTTCTTTTGATGAGCTGCCATACTAGGTACAGGGCACTGCCATGAAGCATTGGCAAAGTAAGAGAACCTGAATCTAGTTTCTAGATCCTAATACCTTTGTATAGGTGAGATACAGAAGCAAGTTAAGCAGTTTTCAAACACCTCAGCACATTAGGATCACTGGGGAGCTTTTAAAACATCCTGATACCTTGGCTGAAACTGAAATCAATTAAATCAGAATGTCAGAGGGTGGGACTCAGGCATGAATGACTTTAAATATTTCCTAGGTAATTCCAGTATGCAGCTGAGTTTGAGAATTAATGAGTTAAATGATACTTAAAAGAAGTAATCAACCAAATCCAGAATGTGGGACATTCTATATTCTATAGAACAGAAGATTCAGGTTCTTCAACAAATAAATGGCATCTTTCAAAAAGGCAGGGGAGAAAGGGGAGCTGTCATATATTAAAAGAGACTGAATAGATATACCAACCAAATGCAATGGTAAACCTTATTTGGGCCCTAATCAGACCAGAACAACTGTAAAATGGCATATTTGAGACAACTGGGAAAACTATAACACAATGACATTAAGGAATCACTACCAATTTAGTTGCCATAATGATACTATGTTAAGAAAAAAGTCCTCATTTGTTAGAAATTCATACTGAAATTTGTACTTGTGGGTGAACTGATATAATGTCTAGATTTGCTTTGAAATACTCAGAAAGAAACAGAAAGAAAGAAAATGGTGAAAAGATGAAAGTTGTTGAAGTTGCGTGAGAGGCAGAGGGGGGTTCATTGTAATATTCTCTTTACACTTATATATGTTTTAAATTTTCCATAGTAATTTTCTTTTAAATTAAACAAAATCCTACCTTCCTTCCTGAATAATTCCATCCAAAAGGTAGGGCCAAAGGAAGTGGGAGAGGAGGTGACAGCCCAGCCCAGAGTGAGTTCGGAGCCCCAGTGAGTGAGAAGTGTTCAGAGGGGTGAAGGGAGTTAGCTACAGCAGGAAAATTTACACTGGTATATTACAACTACCTACTCCACAGACCCCATTCAAGTTTCACCAACGTAAGATCTGAGGTCTGAGCCCATGAGAGGAGCAAGATGAGATGGGGAAATTGATTACACACAGGAAGGATTAATCAATTAAGTAAATATACAAGATATTGGGAGCCAGATTCCTCATGTCAGAAAAGGAGTTACAGGGCTTCCCTGGTGGCGCAGTGGTTGAGAGTCCGCCTGCCGATGCAGGGGACACGGGTTCGTGCCCCGGTCGGGGAAGATCCCACATGCCGCAGAGCGGCTGGGCCCGTGAGCCATGGCCACTGAGCCTGCGCGTCCGGAGCCTGTGCTCCGCAATGGGAGAGACCACAACAGTGAGAGGCCCGCGTACTGCAAAAAAAAAAAAAAAAAGAAAGAAAGAAAACAAAAAAGAAAAGGAGTTACAAACATGAAAAAGAGAAAGGCCGAAATGAATCCTGTGGTGTTGGATTGGAATTGAAGGTACCAGCGTGAACTCAATTCCCAATATCTACAGTTACTTATAGAAATAAATATAGGTGTAGGCACGTAGGGGTATACGTGTATATACCGTATTTGATAAATAGCACTGCAATGTTTTGATATAAATGGAAAAAAAAATTTGGTTGACAAATTAAAAATTACTTCCAGTTGTTTAAAGACTTAAAAGTCAAAAAGGAAAACTTTCACACTTTTAGAAAAAAATTAGAAGCATTTTTTTATGCTCTTGAATAAAGCAAGATTTCTTTTAAAATACACAAACTGCACAAAATGTGAAGGAAAAATTTCGTAAATTTGACATCATTAAAATTTAAAACTACATCAAAAGATACTGGAAACAAGTAGAAACTACAAACAGAAGACTGACAGAAGATATTTGCAAGCCATATGATCAACAAGGATCAATATACAGACTATACAGAAAGCACTAACAAATAAACAAGAAAAAAGCCAACAACCAAACAGAATAATTGACAAGAACCATACACAGGCAATTCATAGATGTGGAATCTGGAATGACCAACAAACATAAGCAAAGATCCTTACTTAACCTCATTATTTACTAAGAGAAGATAAATTTTAAGCCATTTCATACCCATACCTCAGCAAAATTTTGCAGAGCTTCAATAATATTTGCTAGCAAGAATGTGAAAATTTTTGAACTCTTGTACACAGCTGATGGGTGTGTAAGCCGGTACGCTCATCTTAAAAAGCAATTTCAGGGACTTCCCTGGTGGTCCAGTGGTTAAGACTCTGTGCTCCCAATGCCGGGGCATGGGTTAGATCCCTGATCAGGAAACTAAGATCCCACATGGCACGGCCAAAAAAAGAAAAGCTATGTCAGTATATACTGTATAGTAAAGTTGAAAATGATATACACATGGACTTAACAGCTTTAAATTATTTAACCTGTAGGAGTCTTGTACATGAACAATAATGTTAATTGAGTCACTTTTCTGAGCCAGACACTGTTTTAGATATTCAGGATACAACAGTAACAAAAAAAGGACAAAGATTTCTGCCCTCATGGAGTTTATATTCCAGTGGGCATTGACAAAAAAATAAACTATGAGAAGAATAAATACATAAATTTTAATAGGACGTCACGAGCACATTGTTTTAAAAAAAGGAATAAAAGAATAAAACAGAATTAGGACAAGACCCTGGTCATATTTTTACCAGTCTATTCCTCAAGATTGTTTATGTAGCTGGTAATCTTGAAAGATGAGATAACACATCCCAGTGGTCAATTACCAGGCTTACTTACTGCTTGTTATAAAAGCTGAGGATTTCCTAAATTCAGGCTTCCCTGGATGCAACATAGGCATGTTGTGTGTATAGCACCCACCTGAGCCCATCATGTCACCTCCTTGGGACTTGGGGGCAAGGGCAACTGATGCAAATACGATGATCTCATGCTGCTTGCTATCTATGAATAACAAGTGTTAGGCTTGCTATCTATAAGAAATGGGCTGGGAAAAAAAGAAAAAAAGTAAAAGAAAAAGATCAGGGCCTTATATTCTGGACCCATGCAACAAGACATGTAGGAGCACAAAAGGCCCAAGGAGGACTGTCAAGCCTAAGGTTTTTGAGAATTGGAGAAGAATAACAATTACAAGGACTTTTAAATAGTATGGCTATTTGGGGGGGTGTGGAGGTGGGCGGGCATCGATGCATTGGAGAAACACAATGAAATTCTGAAGGCAAAATGTGAAAGGCATTGGGCCTCCTTGGAATCATATAAAATCCTTTGTTTCTGACCCAGGAACTCGTATTTTATGCCAGATTACATGAAACAATCACAGGCTAAGCTAATTAGCTTGTTACTAGAGTGAAATGAAATCCCAGACCCCTAAAATCTGAGAAAATATGTCCAACAGTCTTTGTCAATGTCCTTTTGCACGTATTTGTTCTTGGGTCAAAGATTCTGGCTATGCATACACATCTATCTCATGATTTGGAGCATTACTTATGAATTTTCCTTAGACATATATTCCCTTTCAGTATTATAGTGATAAAGCTTTGCATGCATAATGATTTTTTAATAATTCTAATTCCCTCATGATATATACATATATTGGTATAGGAGGCCAGCACTCACTCTAGACACATTTTAACTCTTGCACTGCTTTTACCTCTTGAGGAACAGTCACCTTGCTGCCAGACAAAATTAAAGGTATTACGGCTAATTTGTAGACTCCTTAAAAATATTTCAGTTTATTAACTCCTCCCCATGGTCACTTTTAAAGACCCCCTTGAAACTAAAAGATTCACTTCTCTGCTGAAACACAGAGAAATTTAGGGACTGCTCAAGTTCCCCGTCTAATTATTAGCAAAATTAGCACTAGAAGCTTTGTCACCCAGAGCTTCAGTTATCCAGTAAGATTTCTACCCACCTATATTGTTTCTCATGAACAGTACCCCTCACCTACATTATTCAGCAGCTGTTGTACAGGACTCCTGGCTTGGGTAGTCCACAGTCCCATGAATAAGACTGGAATTTCAGTCAGACCTAAGGAAACAGATTCAGGAAAGTAAATAATAGAAGTGGAGGAAGTTGGAAAGTGGCAAATGACATCAAGCACTTGGTTAGGTACTGCCACTGTGAAAGGCTACAGCATGAGCTGTGATGAAAGCCAGCCTTTGATGTGATCTCAAAGAGAAGTCTAGTATATTCCTTCTCTCTCCATTTCTCTACCTTGCTCCCAAGGGGATTGGGCAAACCTGGAAACACTGCCCTAGATACCTGCATTTTCTCTATGAGTCAAAGAAAGTTTCCTAAGGGTGAACAGAATGTAGAAGACATCTAGAATTTCCCAAATTGTGGGTTGAGTTCTGAGTTAACTTCTTGCTATATGAGCTTCAGAGAATCTCCTGGTTACAGCCTTCATCTAGCTCATCTGATAGTAATACCTTTCTGTTCAACAATTAGTTCTATACGTTAAAAGTGCCCCCAAAGCACTGGCCTCTGATGCATTGGGTATCATCTTGTTAAATATTCAAGGGTAGGATGATCAGCTACTGGTCCGAGTGTGAGGATGTTATCCAGAATGTGAAGAGGAGGTGGTGACTGTGCTGGAGGATCTGGAGAGAGAACTTGGTGAACCAGGAGAGCATATGAAAAGGTTGATGTGGGACTCGTGTGTGTGTGTGTGTGTGTGTGTGTGTGTGTGTGTGTGTGTATGATACAAAACGGAAATGGGTGAGTCAGGGCTCTTTCTGAATAGGCTCCACCACACCTATTTCTTGTCATTCCACCACCCCTTGAGCAGTGGTTCTTGACTTCATTTAGTTCTCCAACCCTTTTGAAAATATGATGGACATTACGGATCCTCAGTGTATTAAAATTAATCACTACCATAGTAATGCCCTTTTGAATCTAAATATTCTTAATTACTCATAGGTCCCAGCTGATCCTCTTGGGAAGGAAAGAAGGAGTTGTTATGTCTCCAAACAGATAAGGAATCCCTGAAATTTCACCTCTGGTCCCATAAGCCACATCCCCTTTAAGAGGCTGGTGAGGGGAAAGGCTGCCTCTGGGGGCTCACGTTTTCTAGAAAGCCTCAGCTGACTTCAGTGGGAGGTGAGCCACTCCGCAGAACTGAGAGTTTCAGGTAGTCAAATGGACAAGTATGAATTTTTGGTTTTTTAACACATGGTTTTTCTGGTTACACACATTTTTTTAAAAATTGATTGAATGCTAAATTTGTAATTACTCCTTAGTTTATAAGGACAGAGAGACCAGAATCACATGGTAAATAAAAGCATCTCCTGAACTGATTCTCTTTAAACTGTAATTTTTTAAAAATCTTGACTCCATTTTTGCTGTTTGATCACTGACAGCATTCAACCTCTATCTTCCCCTTCCCTTCTGCCCCACATCTGGGCAAGTTTATAAGAAATCCCAGTGCCTCCTCACTTGGCACCTGAAGGAAGTTCAAGCTATGCAAGCCCTTATCTATTTGTGCAATGAGAACCATTTCCTGGACCCATCCCCTAATCACAATAAAAACCAGGGCCACTAACTCTCACTCTCCTTATGCTACTCAAGCCAGTTCTGGACCAGCTTGGGTGCTGCCCTGCTATCTCCAGAGAGTTCCATGATGAGAGTAATCAATTTTTCATACATTCTTGTGTGTGTGCATGGCATCATCTCTAGTAACTGGGAAGGGGGGTCCATACCACCTCTGTAGGATCATCACATTCACAGTTCAAAGATAAGTAACACAGAATGTGAAAGGGCCGTATAATCCCCCATCCACCCTAGTTACCATGTTGACGGTTTGTTGCATATTTGCCCTGCACAGTCAAATCCTGACACATCCATAACCATTCTGCACCATTCTGGATAAGTTCCTATGCCCATCTTCAGTCCTTTTACCGACTGATGTCCACTGTCTGAACTTTTCCTTCCTTTCTTCATCCCACGTACATGTTCTCTGTCTTTCTGGCCCCTGGCACCACAGATTTCATCTTTCTCATGCCCTTCTCATATTATTCCCTCTTCATATACTTTTCAGATATACACAAACTTCCTACTCTTGCATTTCATTTGGAAGATTTTCTCCCTTACAACAGGTCCCTTCTTTTCACTGGATTATTGTTTCAGATGGAAAGGTCAGGACTGATAAAGGGATAGCAGTTCCAAAGAAAATACAGAGTTATATGGGAAGGTATGTAGAACACTGAATGAGAGCACTCACCAGGATCCGAAGTGTGAAAAAAACAATGGACATGAGATTAGATCAGAACATCAGCAGACAACTCCAGACCTAAGCAAAGCAACAGAAGGGAAAAACTCAAGAGATTTAATATGGCAGTTTTTAAAGCATCTTATGGATGATGACCCAATGCTCTGATGTCTTGTACTCAGAATACCGATGACTTTTTGTAACGCTGAAGATGTGATGGGAAAGCACTAAGGGAATTTCAGGTGACTAAGCTTAAATGAAGGAATCTGAGAATACCAGTATGAAGCATGACCCTGTAAATAGACTGGAATTTGGAGTCAAAAGCCAAGGATTTAACTAAGAAGACCCGATGTGAGATGTTAACATTAGAGGAAGCTGGGTGAAAGGTATATAAGCACTCTATCTATCTTTGCAACTTTGTTATAAGTCTAAAATTATTCCATAATTTAAAGTTACTAAAAATAAACGTCCAGGGTTTAAGCCTTGGTGCTGAGGCCTGGGTTTTGTGAATCTTCAATTCCTCATCTGTAAAACAGGATAATGATAATACTCATTTCCCTGTGTGGTTGTTGTGAGGACCAACTGTGGTTAAGTAAGTGGAACCCAGCCAGTGCTGGTCACTATCCCAGGGGAGCATCACGCAGGTGTCAGAGGGAAGAAGTAGGCACAAAAGGTGTTTACTATGCAGGTACGAGTCACGGGGAACACCAAAGACCCATTTACTGTAAAACATCAGCAGAGCTCTACGGGATCTTTAGGGATTAAACACAGATACAGATCTTTCTGGCATGTTGGCTATAGCAGTGCCATTTATTACATTATTAGAAAAGTTTAGCAGCCATCTCAAAGAGAATAAATAAGAGAGATGGGGGTAGTAAGAACAGGAAGGCGCAAAGGAACCAAAGGGAAAGTAGCAGCTTCAAAAACCCAAATCTGCCTCTTTGAATATCCCCAGACCAAAATACACTTAGTGGAGACAGGAAGAAAGGTGTTTTCTAGTCTCAACCTACCCCGCACAACTTGGCCAGTGATCTGGAAAACTTGCACACAGCTTGGATTAGACCAGCTCTGCCACGACGTGGATCTTCTGATGGCGGATGAGGTTGCAGTGGCGATTAAAGCTTTTCCCACATTTGTTGCAATGGTGAGGTCGTTCCCCTGTGTGGCTTCTCTGATGCTCGATGAGAAATGAACGCCGACCGTAGCTCTTGTTGCACTGGCTGCACTGATAGGGCTTTTCTCCCTTGTGGATTCTCTGATGCTGGATGAGACCGGCACTCTGACTGAAGGCCTTCCCACACTCCTTACAGTGGTACCGTTTCTGAATATTGTGGATTCCTCGGTGATTAAAAAGACCCGAACTCCGACTGAAGGTTTTCCCACACTCATTATATTCGTAGGGTCTTTCTCCAGTGTGAACTCTTTGATGTCGAACAAGACCTGAGCTCTGAGCAAAGCTCTTCCCACATTCTTCACATCTGTGTGGTCCGGTTCCTAAGGGGTTTCCCCAGTGCCTCTCTACCCCACCCTTGCAGTCACCAACTTCTCTGTGTCGCAGATCCTGCTGTGATATCTCCCAGGTCTGTCCGTAAGACATTTTCCCATGTGGTTCCACTCTCTTAGGACAGTCTTTCCTTAGCACCAACTCTCTGTTCTCAGTCTTGGTCATTCCATCTGAAACAAAAAAGACCAGGTAAATTTCACTTGTTCCCTGAGCCTAGTGACAGGAGGGTCACTATGTGCACAGAAATGCAAGGTGCTTCTATCCTGATGTCACTCTACGTCATAGAGTAGGGAGGAGGTTAGAAGCAGAAGGGCCAGTGTGTTAACACCTTCCTCTAGGTAATGAGGGAGGTTTGCCCTCTTTGGAGAATTGCAGCTTGGTCCACCCCAACATGGATAGGGCCTGGAGAGAATTTTTTTTATACTTCTTCATGGGAAGAGAAGGGTCAGGATCAGAGTGGCTTCTTTGGAGTCTTCCCTGAGAACTCCCTCCCCTGTGAGGCAGGGAGCCTCCAAGTGACCCTTTCCAAGGAAACTGACCTTATGTATACATTCATTCATTCAGTCATTTATGGAACAAGCGCTGAGCTTCTCCTATTCTAGGTGCTTCAGGCAGTACTTTATGTTTCTAATCCATAACCATCCCGGGTGCATCCCCAGCACAAAGCCTTTGCTCTAGCGCCTCTCTCTTTCTGGAAAGCTCGGACCTCAGATAACAGCAACCCTCACTCTCTCACTTCCTTCAAGGTTTTGCTCAATTCTCACCCTAATTCTTCTATTTAAAACTACAATCTGTGTGCCCCATCCATAGCAGTCATAATCCCTCTTAGGCAGTCCTATTTGTGCTTCATTCCATAACACCACCTCCTAACATATCATCTCCTTATTTATATGCTTATTGTCTCCCCCTTGCTACAATCTCATCTCCACGGAAACAGGATCTTTCTGGTTTATTCCCTGAGAAGCAAGCTTGGCACATAGTGGCTGATCAATAAATATTTGCTGAATGAATAAAAGAGAAAGGACTGAAATCAGCACTACTACTATGGTCTCAACTGACTGGCCCAGGGACCAGCGCTGAGGCAAAGGCTGCCTGTTGGACTGGTTCATGTTGGACAGTGTCCAACCAACCCAATTAGACCCTCTCTGCTTGGAGGAGTTGAAGGTGAGAATGGAGACAAACAGACCCAAACTGTCTAAATGCTAGAGAGCAGCTGCTGTGGAATTCTTAGGGTTCCCCAGGTGTGATTCCCACCTTGCAACCCAGAAAAGCCCAAGGAAAATTGCCCCCAACCCCCTCCTTTAACCATCATCTGGCTTTTTCTCCCATATCTAACTGCACTGTCCCTCACACACCTGGACAGGTACCTCTTAGGACTCCTCTGGGGTGAGACCATGGTTCTTCTCCTCCTTTTAGCCGGGAGATGACAACAGGTTTGCAAAACAGAAATGTGCCTGCAGAGAAGAAATGGGCCACAAGTGAGATCAGTACTGCTGCCCAAACTTCACATTTATATCTGAAATGCACAAAGGAACTGGGTAGAATATAAAAATGAATACATTTCTCACCTTTTAATAATTATCATTTATACAGCTTTCCATGACTTACAAAGCACTTTCACATACATTATCAAACTAATTCACCACAACCCCCCCTGATGCTATTATCCCACTTCTTTAAAGAACTAGGAAAAAAAAAAAAGAACTAGGAAAAAAATAAAAAGGAAGACAGACATATAGCTAGACAGACTCTATATTTAGAAAAAAGTCTGGAAAATATACAGCAATTTGACAAGAGTGGTTACTCCTGGGGAGTTGGACTTAGAGGAGAACTCTTACTTTTTACTATGTAAACTTAGGCATTATTTGTATTTTTTTTTTTTTACTATCACTAAGAATTCTAAACGAAATTCAAACTCGGTGATATAAAGTAACTTTAAATGTTGCATGGCTAAAAAACCAAACAGCTGGAACTTCGATTTGGTCCTTTTAATCCCAAACACTATGTTGCTTTACAAAATAAGCTTTTCCTAAATGTATAACACACACCTGCATTGATAGTCCTATAGGGAGAATTCTCTGATCTGTAGATGCCCTCTGGATACTCTCCTGTAGCCACTGTAGATGCTTAATAAATATTTGTTGAATGAATAAATGACTAGAAGGATGGATGGGGGAATAGACTTACTCAGATGTACCCTGGAAGAAGGGTTCTCAGCAGGGTTCTACATGCAGTTTGGAAAGTAGAAGAAAGGAGAAAATAGATGGAAAATGAAAAATCCAAGTTCATGGGGAGAGGAGGAAGAAAGTAGCAAAGGAACTGACTGGAAAGATGCTCATAAAGGGGGAAAATGAAACCAGAAAGAATTTTAATAAGGTGAAGTCATGGGAGTCAGAGGAAGGTCTGCAGCGTGCACAGAATTTACTCATCAAATATAATTTTAATTTAAATGAAGAGATGTGTTCCAAAATCCATGATAAGTGTATGATTGGTAGGATAAATGAAATGAATAGAAGCAGGAGGCAGAGCGGCAAGAAAAGCTGTGACTTTGATACATATGGAGGTAATGTGAAAATGAAAACAGGAAACCTCTGCTGTAGATGGGTTACCAGAAGGGTAACAAAAAGTCAGAAAGAGGCTGTGGTGTTATGTGTGGGAAATTAGACAGAATTTGGAGCCAAATGGTGCAGGGAGAGCTAGAATGGGAAGGCAGCTGACTCAGCCCCAAGTGCCCACTACTATACCCACTGGTGCCCAGTACTGACACCACTAAAGAGATTGCATACAAGGAAATGGCAAAGTCTATTCCACTGGATTTTCTCATCCCGTTTGCCACCTACTAAGCATATCTCATAACTTCTGACTGCAAATGTAAACCCAAATTGATAAGGGTGGCACTGGTAATTTCTGATAAGAACAGTTACTATATATTAAGCATAATATGTGCCAAGTGTTTTTCACAAATTGTTTGTATTCAACACTCACAACAACCTTCTGAGGTACATTTTTGTTATAGACTGAACTGTGTCATCCCCACTGCAAATTCATATGTTGAAGCCCTGTTTTTATTTATTTATTTGTTTAATTTTGGCTGCATTGGGTGTTCGATGCTGCACCCGGGTTTCTCTAGTTGCGGCAAGCGGGGGCTACTCTTCGTTGCGGTGTGTGGGCTTCTCATTGCGGTGGCTTCTCTTGTTGCAGAGCACGGGCTCTAGGCGCATGGGCTCAGTAGTTGTGGCTCACGGGCTCTAGAGTGCAGGCTCAGTAGTTGTGGCACATGGGCTTAGTTGCTCCGCTGCATGTGGGATCTTCCCAGACCATGGCTCGAACCCATGTCTCCTGCACTGGCAGATGGATTCTTAACCACTGCACCACCAGGGAAGCCCTGAAGCCCTGTTTTTGGAGATAAGGTCTTTAGGGAGATAATTAAGGTAATTAAAGGTGGGGCCATAATCCAATAGGACTGATGTTCTTAGAAGAAGAGGAAGAACTACCAGAGCGCTCTCTGACTCTCTCTCTGTCTCTCTCTCCCTCTCTCCACAGGCACATGCAGAGAGGAATGCCCATGTGAGGACACAGCAAGAAGTCCGCTCTCTACAATCCAGGAAGACAGGTCTCACCAGAAACCAACTCTGATGGCACTCTGATCTTCAATTTCTAGCCTCCAGAACTATGAGAAAAAAAACTTCTGTCGTTTAAGCCACCCAGTCTGTGATATTCTGTTACAGCAGCCTGAGCAGACTAAGACAATACTATTATTAACCCCATTTTGCAGATGAAGAAACCTTGATCAATCAGTTAAGTAAACTGCCCAGGTACAAGCAGCTTCCAAGAGGCAAAGCCATGATATGAACCTGTCTGTCAAACCTTGAAGCCCATTCCCTAAAGCTGTGCTCCACAGTGATTCCTAAAAGTCTTCCTAATGTACCATGTGCCAGCAGACAAGAGAGCTTCCAGAATGGTACCCACGGGAAGACTGCATGCAGGGGATCGGGACAAAGACAAGCACACTAGGCACTTGGAAGCACTGAACATTGCTGGTAAAGCGTCTTCTGACCCCCTGGTTTCCCAGCTCTGGTTTTTTGTTGGTTTGTACTTGACCAGGCGGGATATGTTCAACACCAGATAAATCCTGTCCCTCACCTGTCTTTCCCATACTGTGGGCCTCCTGAGCAGGGTCACATGTGAGCTGGGGCTCCTTAGGCTGGGACTGAAGGCCCAGTGACATCTGCTCTCCTAGAGACACTGTCTCTTTAGAGAGGACTTCTCTTCGGTGTCTGTAGGCTACCATTTAGAACTAAAGAGACAAGATTTGACTTCTGAAGAAATTAATTGTCTAAAGAAACATTTCCCAGAGAGAGGCAGAAAGCTGAGTCTTATTTAATCAGCAAAGTCAAGAGGATACAAAGCAGAGGACACAAAGGTCCTTGGTGACCTACATATACTCTTT